AAAAGTAAAATAAAAAGTAAAATAAAAAGTAAAATAAAAAGTAAAATCTGCCTTTGGATTGAAGGGTAGGTTGCGTGTCCCTCTCTCTCTGTGCAGTAGCATTCTTTCCCTCTCAAAGCCAGGTATTTTCTCCCACCATTTGCTGTTAGCTGTTGCCTTTAACCAGCAACAGACAGACTGTGTACTCAAACTCCCTGTGCGTTCTGCAAAGAAGTGAAAGAGTATAGAGAAATGAGATTGAAGAACAAAGTCTTGGCAAGCAAATGGAACATCTCCTGTGAACTACTGCTCTTGAAGGGGTTTCCCATCTTTGTTTCCCTCTGCCCATAAAACCAACATTTTTGTTTGTTTGTGTCTGTGTGCGTGCAGGGTTTTAAAAGGCAGTTAGTGTTTTAATTAGCATAGCCATATGTCAATAGTTCATAATTGCTTACTTGTGATTTGCTATTTATTACAAATAAGTAAATTCTATTCTCGTTAAGTACAGGAACCTGATCAATGTTTTCAGGCAGGTAATTTGGGGATTTTGCAAACATTGAATGAATCAATAACCTTTATGGCAACCCACGAGTAATTGGGCTGGAGAATCAGAGGTGGGGGGGGGGTGGTGTGGAGCGTTAAAAACAGGCAAACAATCCCACTTGTAATTGTATAAAAGACACAGGTAAACTCTGCCTTGAGTTACATGAAGCTCCTTATGAACAGGCCAATAAAAGCTTTGAGAGGGAAAGAATGGAGCCATGTCAGTGTGGTGGATGTTTCAGTGTGCATCATAAGGCACCAGAAATGCTTGTTTAGTGATTATAGGATTAACATTTCACAAGGCAAGCTGTTGAAATCAAATTCAATAAATCTGATTATCTGTGGTCTGGCGCAGAGATAAACCACAATGAAAGGACTGGATTGTTAAACTAAATCCCCCACACAACTAGTTCACTAATTCCATTGAGGGAAGGGAAGCAGTCACCTACATTTAGTCTGCGCCGTTTCAATCTAACTACAGGACCGCCTTAATATCCTATAAAATTGCAGAGCAAGCATTCAGCAACACACACACAGACACACACACAAAGCACGGATAAAGGAAGATTAACACTAAATGTAACATTAGCAGCATCATTAAAGAAGTTGTGTCTGGGATGTTGCATGAGCCTCAGTTTAATCTGTTGTCAGCTGCTTAAATCACTTTCCATACTGTGGAATTATTTACAATCAAGTGAAATTTGGCATGTTGCTCCAGATCAAGATTTTCTCATTGTGAATTTTGTGGGACCAGTCGGTCTTCAGATACGCTCTCAACTTTTCCCTTTTTTAAGCACCAGAGGGCAGCAGTACTCTTCAGGCAAAATATTTAACATCTTGGAGGAGGTTACAAAGCCGAAGCCCCACGATTGCACCACAATCAAAATCTGCTGAGGCAGCAGTACCATGTTTCTCCAAATTGGTTCACACATTACATCAATTTGAGAAAACACACTTTATAAAGCACTTCAAAGCAATCCTGACATTTCCTGAAGTACATGATGGAGTGCTAATGAATAACTAATGTTGACTCTGGAGTTCCATATTTAATTTCGGCAGCGGAGCTGAGTGAGAGCGGTCGAATTGCGCTCTGGGAAGGTGAATGAACTGATATATTTGGGCAGTGGCTAAACCAGAGACCAGAGGGGAAGGCCAACTGTAGCAAAATTCGGCAGGAGCTGGGGAATGTGGATTGGGAGCAGCCGTTTGAGGGTAAATCCACATTTGATATGTGGGAGGCTTTTAAAGAAAGGTTGATTAGAGTGCAGGACAGACAAGTCCCTGTGAAAATGAGGGATAGAAAGGGCAAGATTAGGGAACCATGATGACAGGTGAAATTGTGAGACTAGCAAAGAGGAAAAAGGAAGCATACATAAGGAATTAATAAATTAATTAATTAAATAAAGGAATTAAGGGATACGGTGAGAACGCGGGTAAGTGGATCTGAGTCCACAAAAAGATCAGCCATGATCTTATTGAATGGCAGAGCAGGCTCGAAGGGCCAGACGGCCTACTCCTGCTCCTAGTTCTTATGTTCTTATAAGGTCTAGGCGACTGAAAACAGATGAAGCTTTGCAAGAATATCGGGAAAGCAGGACCAATCTGAAACGAGGAATTAAGGGGGCTAAAAAAGGTCATGAAATATCTTTAGCAAAGAGGGTTAAGGAAAATCCCAAAGCCTTTTATTCGTACATAAGGAGCAAGAGGGTAACTAGAGAAAGGGTCGGCCCACTCAAGGACAAAGGAGGGAAGTTATGCAAGGAGTCAGAGAAAATGAGTGAGATTCTTAATGAGTACCTTGCGTTGGTATTGACCGAGGAGAGGGACATGACGGACGTTGAGGTTAGGGATAGATCTTTGATTACACTAGGTCAAGTCGGCATAAGGAGGGGGGAAGCATTGGGTATTCTAAAAGGCATTCGGGTGGATAAGTTCCCAGGTCCGGATGGGATCTATCACAGGTTAATGAGGGAAGCAAGACAGGAAATAGCTGGGGCCTTAACAGATATTTTTGCAGCATCCTTGAGCACAGGTGAGGTCCCGGAGGACTGGAGAATTGCTAATGTTGTCCCCTTGTTTAAGAAGGGTAGCAAGGATAATCCAGGTAATTATAGACCAGTGAGCCTCACGTCAGTGGTGGGGAAGCTGCTGGAGAAGATACTGAGGGATAGGATCTATTTACATTTGGAAGAAAATGGGCTTATTAGTGATAGGCAGCATGGTTTTGTGCAGGGAAGGTCATGTCTTACCAACTTGATAGAATTCTTTGAGGAAGTGACAAAGTTGATAGATGAGGGAAGGGCTGTACATGTCATATACATGGACTTCAGTAAGGCATTTGATAAGGTTCCCCATGGTAGGCTGATGGGGAAAGTGAAGTTGCATGGGGTCCAGGGTGTACTAGCTAGATGGATAGAGAACTGGCTGGGCAACAGGAGACAGAGAGTTGTAGAGGAATTGAGCTTCTCAAAATGGGGAACTGTGACCAGTGGTGTTCCACAGGGATCTGTGTTGGGACCACTGTTGTTTGTGATATACATAAATGATCTGGAGAAAGGTATAGATGGTCTGATTAGCAAGTTTGCAGATGACACTAAGATTGGTGGAGCAGCAGATAGTGAAGGGGACTGTCGGAGAATGCAGCAGAATATAGATAGATTGGAAAGTTGGGCGGAGAAATGGCAGATGGAGTTCAATCCAGGCAAATGCGAGGTGATGCATTTTGGAAGATCCAATTCAAGAGCGAACCATGTGGTAAATGGAAAAGCCCTGGGGAAAATTGATGCACACAGAGATCCGGGTGTTCAGGTCCATTGTACCCTGAAGGTGGCAATGCAGGTGGATAGAGTGGTCAAGAAGGCATATGGCATGCTTTCATTCATCGGATGGGGTATTGAGTACAAGAGTTGGCAGGTCATGTTACAGTTGTATAGGACTTTGGTTCGACCACATTTGGAATACTGCGTACAGTTCTGGTCGCCACATTACCGAAAGGATGTGGATGCTTTGGAGAGGGTGCAGAGGAGGTTCACCAGGATGTTGCCTGGTATGGAGGGCGCTAGTTATAAAGAGAGGTTGTGTAGATTAGGATTATTTACATTTGAAAGACAGAGGTTGAGGGGGGACCTGACTGAGATCTACAAAATCATGAGAGGTATAGACAGGGTGGATAGCAAGAAGCTTTTTCCCCCCCAGAGTGGAAGACTCAATCACTAGGGGTCATGATTTCAAGGTGAGAGGGGAAAAGTTTAAGGGAGATATGCGTGGAAAGTTCTTTATGCAGAGGGCGGTGGGTGCCTGGAACGCGTTGCCAGCAGAGGTGGTAGAGGCGGGCACGATAGCCTCATTTAAGATGTATCTAGACAGATACATGAATGGGCAGGGAGCAGAGGGATACAGATCCTTGGAAAATAGGTGATAGGTTTAGATAGAGGATCTGGATCGGCACAGGCTTGGAGGGCCGAAGGGCCTGTTCCTATGCTGTAATTTTCTTTGTTCTTTAGATGGTTAGAGATGCCTGTCACATGTCAGACGCTGGAATCAGACTCTAGATGTAACATGGAAAGCCACACGTGGAACTGAATTCATGAAAATATCAATGGGCACACCACATTTTAAAACAATTTAAAAGGCTAGTTGGGAGTTTGGAATCAGTTCACCAATGGTCTGATGTTCCTCTTACCTGATCAGTTACAATCTCATGCAGATCAGGAATGCTCAGGTCAGCCTTTACAAATGGAATTTTGTCCACTTCCTCAGGGAATGGCCGATGTTTGACATTGTACTTGATCCCCACGTCATCCTTAGGTGGTGGATGAGGCTCAGGAACGAACGCCTATAGATGACATTGCAGTTACATTACAATCAGTTTTTGTGCACATTTTCCTCCTACCTTGCTGCTGGAGCGCAGTTCCAATTATGATTGCCAGAAAGCAGTCTAATCACAGACCATTCCATGATGCACCTTCCACATGTAGGCTTTCCAGTAGGAATGACTGGATAATGAGCAGAAGCAGAAAGTCAGGCTGATTGTACCTTCTCCACTGGGGAAGATCAGATCACTTTAGGCCTTATGGTCCAAGAACTGCTCATCCACAAAGACCAAGAAATGAAGGCAATCTACGTAACTCACTTACACACTACTCACATCACCAAGAAAACAGGAACCAACATTTCAAACTGTTATAAAGTTATGCTTTACAAGATGGCTATGTTTTAAAATGTCTGCTTGAAGGCAAAATTGAGAATTCCCACAGCACCTCAGCTGTAATGTTTCTCACAGCCCTTGCATGGTATTTTGTATAGTACGTTAGTTTTATTGGTTGTGGGTCCTTTCCGTTTGTCAGTAGCTGTCGCAGGGTGGTTGTTGGTTTGTGGGCAACTCTGATACCTAGGGGTCTGAGTAGTCTTGTGATCATCTCTGATATGTCCTTGATGTACAGTAGGATGACCGGTGTAACAGCTGTTACCTCTGTGACAGACCACAAGATGACACAACATGGCCAGACAGACAGACTAGTCACCCTACTGTACATCAGAGACATATCTGAGATGACCACAAGACTACTCAGATGCCTAGGTATCACAGCATAGCCCATAAACCACAACCACCCTGTGACAGCTACTGACGAACGGAAAGAACCCCATTCCCACAATGAAACCAACATAATATAGAAAATACCATGCAAGGACTGTGAGAATCATTACACAGGCCAAACTGGAAGAAAACTGACAGTAAGGATACACAAACACCAACTAGCCACCAAGAGACACGGCCAATTCTCAGTGGTCTCAACACACACGGACAAAAAAGGACACGAATTTGACTGGGACAACACATCCATAATAGCACAAGCCAAACAGACATTCCAGGGAATTCCTGGAGGCCTGGCATTCCAAATGGAACTCCATCAACGAACACACTGAATTGGACCCGATATACAAACCACATGATCAACAGAACTGGAAGTAATATCAACCACCCCAGCAAACCGAGGCATACGAATAACAAGCGGGACAGAACACCAACGCTTCAAAGGAGGCACACTGATGATGCAGGGTGACGAAACGTCTGCAATCAAACACACTGGCTCAGTGAGCATGTTTGCAACAGGAATTCAAGGATTTTGAACCAGAAAAAAAATGAAGGAATGAAGATATATTTCCATGTCAGGATGGTGAGTGGCTTGGAGGGGAACTTGCAGAGGATGGTTTCCATGTACCTGCTGCCCTGGTCCTTCTAGGTGGAAGTGGTTATGGGTTTGGAAAGGTTCTTTGGTGAATTTTTGGTGTATCCTGTAGACCGTACACACTGCTGCTACTGAGCATCAGCAGAGGAAGGAGTGGATGTTTGTGGATGTGGTGCCAATCAAATGTGCTGCTTTGTCCTGGATAGTGTCAAGCTTCTTGAGTGTTGTTGGAGCTGCACTCATCCAGGCAAGTGGGGAGTATCCCATCACACTCCTGACTTGTGCCTTGTAGATGGTGGACAAGCTTTGGGGAGTCAGGAGGTGAGTTACTCACTGCAGTATTCCTAGCTTCTGACCTGCTCTTGTAGCCAGTGTTTATGTGGCGTATGCAGTTGAGTTTCTGGTCAATGGCAATCCCAAGGATGTTAATAGTGGGGGATTCAGTGATGGTAACATTGAATATCAAGAAGCGGTGGTTAGATTCTCTTTTTTTTTGGATGGTCATTGCCTGTCATTGCAAAATACTTGCAAATATTACTTGCCACTTGTTAGCCCAAGTCTGGATATTTCCAGATCTTGTCACATTTAAACATGGACTGCTTTAGTATCTGAGGAGCTGCTGAACATTGTGCAATCATCAGTGAACTTCCCCACTTCTGACCTTATGGAGGGAAGGTCACTGATGAAGCAGCTGAAGACGGTTGGGTTGAGGACCTTACCTTAGGAATTCCTGCAGAGATGTCCTGGAGCTGAGATGACTCACTTCCAACAACCACAACCATCTTCCTATGTGCCAGGTATGACTCCAACCACTAGTGAGTTTGCCCCCAATACCCATTGACCCCAGTTTTGCTAGGGCTCCTTGATGCCACACCTGGTCAAATAGTCTTGATATCAAGGCTGTCGCTCTCACCTCACCTCTGGAATTCAGCTCTTTTCTCCATGTTTGAACCAAGGCTGTAATGAGGTCAGGAGCTGAGTGGCCCTGGCAGAACCCAAACTGGGCAGGTAATTGCTGGGCAGGTGGTGCTTGATAGAACTGTTGGTGACACCTTACATCGTTTTACTGATGGAGCGGTAATTGTCTGAGTGGGATTTGTCCTGCTTTTTATGTACAGGACATACCTGGGAAATTTTCCACATTGTTGGGTAGATGTCAGTGGTTGTAACTGTACTGGAAGAGCTTGGCTACGGAAGCGGCAAATTCTGGAGCATAAGTCTACAGTGGTATTGGTGGTATGTTGTCAGTACCCATAGCCTTTGCAGTGTATAGTGCCTCCAACTGATTCTTGATATCATGTGGAATGAACCGAATTGGTTGCCGCTTTTGGCACTGGACACCACTGTGCAACTTCCATCTGCACTACTGTGTGTACAAGAGCTCCACCCTGTATATGTTAATACCAAAACGTTGCTGTAATTCCTTTTGACTAGCTGTAATTCCAAAATGAATAGAAGTTTATAGAATTACACTAGTTGTTGACTTAATTGCTTTTACCTAAAAAAAATCAAATTAACTTTTCAGTAACAGTATCTATTAATCTAGTAATCTATTAGTTGGACTGATCACTGGAGTAAGATACTAAGGCACCAGGTAATACAGTATTATTGCACTGAATTCAAACCTTTTGGCTTGCTCGAGACCCCCTTGGCTGGTGATACAGTTGCATGGTCCACGCATGTCTCCCAGACATTCCCCGGATCAGGACAGTAACTGAGGGGCAAGGATCTGCAGAGAAAGCAACCAAACAACATTCCCCAAAAGACGTTATGCAGCAATTTGCTTGTGTAAAACCTTCTTTCTCAGTAACATATTTTTCCTTTCTCCAGTTGGCTCTCCCCACCTCACATGCTGTTTCCCATTGCTAGTATTCTGAAATATTGGTACTGTTCCACAATGTTGTGGGCCATATTATAAATACAACATGGGGGGAAAAGCATTTTCTAAAAAGGCATCTCGTTCTCTCTCCTCACAGGTCCCATAAGATGTAGGAGCAAAAAATTCAGCCTATTGAGCCTGCTCTGCCATTCCTTGAGATCATGACTGATCTGATAATCCTCAGCTCCGTTTTCCTCCCTTTGTCCCCTGAGCTTTGATTCTATTACTGGTAAAGATCTCTCTCACTGTCTCAGTTGGAGTGACAGCGTACTTCTAAAATCTATAGCTACTCTTTCACCTTGTTTGTATGACAGAAATTACACTCACAAACCAACGTCCTATCACCTTTATAGAGCTGTGGACTGAGTTATTGAGTTTTATAATGCTATAATTCCTCCTGACCTGACATTTTAAGTTATTTGCTTTTTGGGTCAGTCTGACAATAAAGCAGTGACAGGAGCAGCTGACAACATCAGAAAACTTCCAAACATCCTGCCAATGCTTTCAACAAGCATTAATTCAAAGAAGCCTGAGAGTCAATTATACCCAACACATTGCCCTAATAGGAAACATGGCCAGCATAAATAACCAAAACAATTCCTGGCATACAGCCGAAGGTTAAAAACTGTTTTTTTTTTTTAAATGATTCCCAACAATTAATCTGTATTTAGCCTAAAGCTGTCCAGAGGTTTCTGTAACAAAAACATCTGAAAATGAACAAGCTGCTTTGATAAAAGACTTGTGAAACAAGGCAAAGACACAATACAGATTTCAGAAATCAGAATTTCAGGATCAAATTGCAGATGAAAACAAATGAACTCAGCTCAGTGAAGGCAGGTGGCACAGGTTGCTATCGCTAAGACTTGCTGACGACGGAATGCAACATATGCAGGGAATAAATCCAGCACTTAGAAGGGATCACGCAATAAGGACAGGGATGGCGAGGAGGAATAGAGTTGATAAGCCCAGTGGCAACAGAAGGAACCACAGAATTGTACAGTCCATTGGAACGGCACTGTCTCTCAGAGAAAGAGTAATTCCTTAGTTCCATTTTCTTACTCTTTCCTAATGTTCTGAAATATTTATCATCTATGCTTAGTATCTTCCCTTATGAATAGATCTAGAAAATAATCACTTGGAATGTTCGCTGCTTTTGGTTCAATTCTGTTGCCTCCTTAATGGATCTCATTTGTGTTAATCCTCTTGCTATTAAGCTCAAAGAACTGCTTACTGCCGCATTTGGTAGCAACAACAGTGCTTATTGCTATCCTAGTAGATCTTTTTACATTTTTCCAGGTTCCAGATCTTTTCACCAACACTCCTGCCACCTCACCCCAAGTGGTTTCAGTAAGATAAGATTTTCTTGTTAATCTATTTAGGGCTACATTTATTTAGTATGCACTTAACAATCCTCATTTTCACACTGTGACCAGTGTATGTCTTTGTTTCCATCACAGATTTTGTTTTTGAGCACCAGCCCTCATCATTTTCTTGAAATTGCCCTCTCTGAAATTATAAAGTTGGATATTGGCTTATTGCATTGGTTTATTACAAATTCTGTCAGAGTTAATCATGCCTGAGCCTGGCACCCAGGGGTGTCACTACCTTTGTTCCCATTGTGCTGTCCCAGTTGAGTTGAGTTTATAAAGTTGAGTTAGAAGTTGGATCTTGTGCTATCTCCAAAGCAATGGGCCTGTAGATGGCCATGAACTAATTCAGACCTTGCAGAGGTTATACAACATTAGTTTAAATAGTTTTAATGAAAGATCTGTAAGCTTCGAACAATGCCAGGTAACAAAGAGCAGCAGGTACTGTTTTTGAGTGATTGAACAGCCTGCTCCTTGGCCAATCATAAATACAAAGCAAAATGAAAAATGGCAGACCCGCGGATGCTGTAAATTAGAAAGAAATTCAGAAGTTGCTAGAAAATCTCAGCAGGTCTGGCAGCATCTGTGAAGAGAAATCAGAGTTAACATTTCAGTCCGGTGACCCTTCCTCAGAACGTTCTGAGGAAGGGTCATTGGACACAAAACATTAACTGATTTCTTTTCCTAAATACAAGCACTGGGTCAGAAAGAGATGGTGAACTCACTCTGATCGTTGCCCAGTGGCTGCTCCAACATTGCTAAGATGATGCTGTTGTCCAAGACGAAGTACCGGAAATGGTTCTTGCTGGTTGAGGTCAGCCTGGAGTATTTGATTAGTGTCTCTTCGTTGAGAAGACTGCATGGTGAGGCAGGGCCACTTGGAGAGGGGAATGCTCCGAGCAACTGCATTATACTTAAAACAAAAAATCCATAATATCCATTATATCTTTATGTACAGACCCATTTAAAAAGCAGCATACAAGTTAATATAGATCTACATTAATAAAAAAAACTTAACCTTAAGCAGCCAGCATATTCAGCAAAATTCAGGTCTCTTTGGTCTGACTGATCTCATCTATTTTTAGCTCTTCTAGTAAGACATAGAAATAACAACAATCAGAAAGAACTTGCATTTATATTTGCACCTAGCATGTCTTTAGGATGTCACAAAGAACTTCACAACCAAAATACTTCTGAAGTGCAGTCACTGATGTAATCACAGAATTCTCTCAGTGTAAGAGGTGGCCATTCAGCCCATGACATCTGTGCCAGCTCTCTCAAAGAACATCTCACTTAGTGCTATTCTCCTGTTTCGTCCCCTTGACCCCAAGCACTCTTCCTGTTCAGACAGCAGTCTAATTCCCTTCAAATGACATGGAATACAGTAATAATTGAAAACTCAGCACTCAATGTCTATCAATTAAAATGAGATTTCTTTTTCAGCACAATTCATTTACAATGTGGTTGTCAGCGGCAAGACCAGCATTTGTTGCCAATTGCATAGTTCCTCGATGGGTGGCTTACTAGAATATTTCATATTTTCATAGTTTTATTTTCTAGAGGGTTGATCAGGATCAACTATTCTAGTTTGGGACTGAGACTGGGTAAGAGTGATGGCATACCATCTCTAAAGAACATCAGAGAATCAGCTGGGTTAATTCAAGGCAACATTGCCCAAGTTACTTCTATGTCTTACCATGTGAGCGTAGCCTCAGCAGCATCTTTTACTCTCATCGAAGCAGGGTTTGGCTCCTTATCTCCCTTGTGCCGCACCTCCTGATCGCTGGTTTTAGACTTGCTCCCCGAGATCCCCAGTTCAACAATCTCCAGCACCTCTATCAGACAATCCTGAGAAAGCAGGAAGATTGTCAGACTGAAAAAGACACAGTCTTCCTAAATTAAGGTCAGCCTCTTGCACTTCTTACTCGATCTCTTAAATGGGCAAGATTAAACTTTTCAGTAAAGGATGTTGATACAAGGCACATTATTTTGATTATTCCCTTCAGCTTATGTCAACTAATACACAGTAGCAGGAAGCTTCATTTGTGATTTTCCAGCAAACTTACAAAGAGTTTAAGTCTGAATAACAAATCCCCAATTCAAGATGATGGTTGGCTAGAAGAAGCAGAGCTGAGCTGAGAAAGGGGAGAATGAAGGGCTGGAAAGACTCAACGCATCAAACTGCTATTAGACCCCACAGTCAGATATGCATAACCAAACATACCTTTTCATTTAGCATATCCGGATGTTCTGTGAGCCAGACACAGAGACACTGGAAGGCTGCGACAATCATGGAGTGTAGATCTCGGGAATGAAATGGAGCAGGTCTGCTACACTGGTGCACGATGTAACTGCACACAGAACTAACTGCACGCTTTCGATCTGTTGAATCCACGCTCACCTTTACCTGTTTTAAAGAACAAGTAATTTGCATCCATTTTGGAGATCATGAAAAGTAATGCAAAAAAGAAAAGGGGACTGAAGTTGGTGAAGCTGTAAAAGAAAATGTAAATAAAAATGTTTCTGAAGGTTTTTTTTAAATCCAGGAAAAGCAATTACAATGAGCCTAATTCTTGTAGGATTTGGCTCTACAGAGTACTAACTGCAGCTGGTAACTGGCATGGCCAGCTGATAGGATCTCCCTCAACTGCACAGTCAGCAACTGTTGAATAAACTATTACAAAGGGGGGGGCTGATGACCCAAGGAAGGAAAGGCCTGTGCCCCAAACCCTAACTGTGGCACCCCCTATATAAACCGCCAACCCACAGTCCTAATGTCTTTCAGCAACTGTCATTAAAGCACGTCAAATGGCCCGATGTTTGAATTTACAGTGCACCTCCTTGTGGTGGGAAGCCTGTCTGAAGCCATTTTTACTGTCAGTAAAGTTCTCAGAGTGGGACATGATGAGGATTGATCCAGAAAGGAACACACACCACCTTTCATCATGGTCCCACCTTGTGGGGCAGCAAACTCCTCCCCAATGAGCTTTCTGATAACTGCATTGCACTTTAAGTGCTCATACTGCTCACAGAGTCAAAACACAGGAGATGGTTATTCAGCCAATTGTGTCTGAGCCATGTTTTTCAATGAGCTATCTATTCCCCATTTCTTTTCATACCGCTTCATTGGACTGCCCCGGATTTAGTCACCAACTTTTACCTTATTTGGATGAAAATTGTTTTGCCCAACCTCTTAACTTGGTCATTTTTATGCCCATCTCTCATCTGAGCCTACAGTTTAGCCATAGCAACCAATTTCCCATTTTCAGCTCTTTTCCATAACAATGAAAATTAAACACAACTAAAACTTGACAATCGAGGCAAGTCAATCACACAATCTGCTTTCAAGATATTGCAGTGACAGGTTACTAATTAAACCACAGGACTCAGTTCAACTTACTATCACAACGACGTCTGGGAAATGGTTATGCTGAGTTTCAAAAGCTTGACTCCTCGTACAACTGAGGAGATCCTTAGAAAAAATCCCACCAATATAAGGTCAGAAGTAGTGATGACTGAACAGCGCTCAATACATTGACAACTTCACACTGAGAACACCCTCTATTTGGCACTGTCAATGTACTAAATGGGATAGCAACTCTCGACTGGGCACCTGTGAGCCATCAGCAGCCAACTTGTATTTGAAACCAATGTGTACCTTCATGCCCAAGGCTATCTTCACTCCACCATTACCATCAAGCCCCACAAAGGGTTCAATGAAGGTGCAGAAGAATATACCAGGAGCAGCACCAGGCATACCTAAAAATGAGCTGTCAGCCTGGTGAAGCTACAACACAAGACTACCTATGTGTCAAACAGCGGAAGGAGCATGCAGTAGACCAGGACTAAGTGACCCCACAACCAATGGAGCAGATCTAATCTCTGTAGTCCTGACACATCCAGTCATGGAATGTGCTGGACAATTAAACAGCTAACACTAGGTGGAGGCTCCAGAAATATCTCCATCTTCAATGACCAGAGAATTATAGAATCCCTACAGTGCAGAAGCAGGCCATTCCGCCCATCAAGTTCACATCGATCCTCCAAAGAGCATCCCAACCAGACTCTCCCCTACCCCATCCCTGTAAGCCTGCATTTCCCATGGGCAATCTACCTAACCTGCACATCTTTGGACTGTGGGAGGAAATCCATGCAGACACGGGGAGAATGTGCAAACTCGACACAGACAGTCACCAGAGGCGGGAACTGAACCCAGGTCTCTGGTGCAGTGAAGCAGCAGTGCTAACCACTGAGCCACCTTGCCACCCATGTTGGGGAACCCAAGCACATAAAAGCCAAACCATGCTTCAATGAAAATAAAGGATGCTGCTGAAGTTACAGTCACCTGGGGAGATATAGAACAATATTGTTTTGAATTAACCCAGCTGATTCCAGTTGCTGAGTTGAGTGCAGCTCCCCTTTCAATTCCATTTTGATTTAGTCCCCTCTCCCACTTCATCACATAGGAAAATTAAGGAGTATTCTGTCCATTTGCTCATTCTAATTGCTTTTCCTAGATTTCAAAAACAGCTCAACACTTGTGAAACTTAAAGTCACCAAGACATGCCAGCCCACTTGACTGGCACCCCAGTTTTTTTTGATGCACACAAAAAGTAACTTAAGTTTTGCCTTCTGGACTATAAAGGAATTCATTCATCACACCCCTACTTTATGTCTTGAATTTTTCCTCAGATTTCCTTCTGGGTTTGAGTCAAATTGAAACATGCACCTTATATCCTTTGTGTATAACAGATTAACGGATTTAAAAACTGCTCAATGGCTTCAAATTCCCAGAGACACAATATACCATTTGCGCAACCCAGTACAAATTATCTGAAGGAATTTATCACATGCAGAATGCAGATACATAATTATTGTGCATTACTGAGAGGTGCTATTCTGGGTCACTTCACAGTTTCAATGTGCAGGAAAACTTTCAAAGAAAATGTTCTGGAAACCATAAGAATCTGGACATTTTATGAACTGGGCAGAACATACTTGAATGTTTTGAGCGTACAACCTACATACCTGGTATTTCACTGGCATGGAAATTCATTTACCATGTTACTCATTTGTATGATAGGCAGAACATGGTTTTGGCTTGAAGGAAATATCGTATTACAGGAGAATTCTACTTTGCTGTCACTGCATAGTAGCAGCTTACTGTAGCTAGCTTCACCTATTGCTCGAATTCTGAGAAGGATCAACAGAAAACCATCTTGAATTTTTTTTGCGCAACTGAGACCCACTCATTCTTTGGCTCTCAAAGAGTTTCGTCATAACTAGCAATTCTCTATGATTAGAAGACACTTAAAAGTTTCTCTGTTTTTACCTAACAACTCTCTGATCCTTTCCATTTATAACAATAGCTTGCTTAATGTATTTGAGTGGGCAGCTGTGTCCACACTTAGTTGGTTTGTGATGTAGTATAATTTCAAGGGTAATCATTCACACTTGATACATTAAATATAAAATGGAAAAAAGTTTAACTAACACTGTACCTTGGCTAACCCGGAGAGCAATTCAAGTGCTGCCAATGAGATGCTCATGTCCTGCCTCCATTGGGAGTTCAGTCGCTGCGTTACCAAATGGATACTACGAATCAGTAGTCCCGATGCTGTATCTGTATGAAGAGCTATGATATAACCCCAATACAACACACCAGGGAGAGGGAAAACAACTACGCATTAGTAACTACAAGCAAAGCAATCAAAACAAGCACAAGCTCACCACCCATGCAGTAAAGAACAGTCAAAAAGGAAAACTGCTCCCGTCCCAGTAGCAATGAGGCTGCGTCGATTTGGTAGTCATTAATGACAGCATCAGAATGAAAGGATTCAAGTCTTCATATCAACAATGTGAGACAAAGTATAACATTTCACAGACCAATTTTGCACCAAATAGTACAGATGGAAAAATGAATGCAACTCGCAGGGCTGTTTCAGATAAACACAATATTTTTGTCACAAAAAAAAGTGCATTTCAATCCAGTGTTCAAGAGCTCAAAGCCCTGAAAATGTATCTGATCGAGGATGGCCAAAATCAGATTAATTATCCCTACTTTTTCATCTAAAACATTACAGGAAATTATTTAATAATGTAGGAATGAACCGTTAACAGTGAAACAAGGGGTGGGGAATTTTGTGGAAATTGAAGGGTACAGATGCAGTATTTCAAATGTTAAGCAGCAATAATATTAATAAGGGAACAGACACCCAGTTCCAGGATACAAGCCTGCCTAATAATTTAATAATAAAGACTTTTCTAATGAGAATGGGAAGAAAGGCTGACCCCTCCCTGATCCAAATCATGGGCTGAACACTCCACTATAGTCATTGTCTGACAGGATCTTAGCTCTTAGAAGTAAAGTGAGAGCTCTGTGCAGGAACTGGAGGAAGTCAATCACCCATCAAACTTGTTCCAGATCTTGCATGATCTGCATTACAATTCTTATCTTTGGGAAATTCAGAATACTCAAACTGTTATTCTCAGCAATGTGACCAGTTGCAATGAAAGTGGTGCAATGACCAGAAAAGGCGTCTTGCAGTTGTTCATAACCACTATCCCACTTCAGATTTCTTACGAAGGAGTTTACACATCTGCCTGTTCCTTTGGGGTATTGGCATAGGTAGCCAATGTTTATGCCTTTCAGAAGGAAATCTCGCTGTGGAGAACATGATAACAGAATCAGGCACTTAATCTATGATGAACAGATGGTTGGGCTGTTACAGGTAGGATGGGATGAAATGCCCGAAAGGATCATAATTATGGAGTCTAATTACAAGCTGCACTCCTCCACTGCAGCAATGCACCAATTCAAAAAATTAGTCTTTGAAGCTAAATTATCGTACTCTTTTCACTGGACAGCTCCAATGAAATGTGCCAAATATTGCAATCAGAATGCTAGGAGACATTTTCTACCCAATAATAACCGCAAATTAGAAGCAAAACAATTGTCCTAAATGACAGGTAAACATATACAGCAGTCAATTACTGTATATTGTTTATATGTAGACTTGCATGAACAAGTAGAAGAACTATCAAGGTACTGTTCAGTAACAACATGGCAGATGAAAAAGACAATTTGAATATACATTTCCGAAAGATATCAATAATAGATCTTTGAAGGTGTTTCATAACAGATTTAAAGATCAAGACAGCAAGTTTTGGAAATAACTCTAGAATTGAAGCGTGACACTAGTTTAAAAACTTTATTTTCAGGGATTTGGTGGGAAGGCTTCTCCACTTGGGTGTGAATTTTAAACTTCCCCTTTTGCTCAATGGTTGGTAAGTTCCTTTCTAAATAAGAATTGTCAAAAATATACCAGAAGTCTCATAGTGAGAAGCAAGGGAGATTTAAAGAACTTGAAATCCAGCAAATCATGCTAGTTTATATTGCCATCAGAATTCTGTCAATGGATCATTGTATCATAAACAGATGGCAACTACAATATAGCTTATCTGGTTGATGCGGGAGATGTAGGTTCTGGCATTGCACCTTGTGCCAAACACACGATTAAGAATAGGCCACTCAGCCTTGTGTAACTGTTGTCACTCAATCATAATTCTTTATACCAAAGTGATTGCTTTGATTGTATAGGTGAAAATGCATATGCTGGGTGCGGGCTAATGAATCTAAGCCAAGGAACCCAATGCAAATCCTGCACTGTGGTGGGAAATGTTTCCAAGCAGCTGATGACACAAACATTTGTGAATAATATTCCACGTTGATGCAAGTATTTCACACTGCACGTGTGTGAAAGATTTGGACAGGAAGGCAATCTCTTTAAACACAGCATGGAAAGGATATGTTCCCAGCAGCAAATTACTCCTGGAATTGTAGTTGGAATTGCCATGGAAAGGTGCAATTTGGGGAATTCTGATCTGATCAAAGTTTGCTTTTGTTAGAAGGGATAGCACTAGATGCAAATTCCCAACTTTTTTCCTCTCATATCTTGGTTCTAAAAAGCAAATCTAAAAGTGCTATGGATGCACAAATATTTGTTACCCTCTCACTTTAGGTGTCATTTTTCACACCAACAAGAGAGTAAAGGGGATTGTGACAGAATGCAATCTTAGCTAGGCCTGATATAAGCACCATCTGGCTAGACCAGGCACAAACTAATAAGCATAGCAACATCTAGAGCCGGCACATGCACATACATGTTTACACACTTTCAACTAGTTCTGGTACAAGTGTATGTACTGATATACGCACACAGCCTTGCTGGGGTGGATACTAATTAGAAACAGGAGTCCAAGCAGATTTTGTCCTAACTAGCCCAAAAAAACACGCCAATTTGTGTCCTCCTTCGCTTCATCACTTTCTAAAACATTCAAAGCGGCATGCTTTCTTTGCATTTGAACAGATTGAGAGGGTCTTGTGGTGCAGTGATAATGTCTCTACGTCTGGGCCAGAAGGTCCAGGTTCAAGTCCCACTTGTCCCAGAGGTGTGTTGCAACAAGTTGATTAAAATCTCATGCCAAGAACTCTCAATGCTGAATTCAGCTAAATACTAAATCATGGAAACAGACAGACATTTATAACAAAATAACACTTATAATTCAGCTTGAATTTCAGTGGTTCATAAAAGTCAATGGAATCTGTATTGAAACACCTTAAGTCACACAGTTATATCTGAACAGCCTTTCAGTTCTGCAGAAAGCCAGCAATAGTCAATTAACAATGGAATGAGCCCCAGAACCAATTAAATTCAATTAAGTCACCATGTATTTAGCACCATACTATTTCATTAAAAAAGTTTTTATAAAGAGAGTCAAGAACAATAATCATTTGGGTCCATTGCTTCCTATGCATTTTGATTTGGCACTGTATCACCATTTGTTCACTGTCATTGGGTCAAAATTCTGGAATTTGCAACCTGAACAGCACTGTAGGTGTCTCTACACTCCAAAGACTGCAGCGATGCAAAACAGCAGCTCATACCATCTGCTCCAGGGCAATGAGGGAAAGGCAACAAATCCTGGTTTAGCTAGCAATATCCAGATCCCACGAACAAAGAGAAAAGGTCACTTACTAATTTAGGGACCCACTTGTGGCACAGTGAAAGTGTCCATACCCCTGGACCAGGAAGCCCAGGTTCAAGTCCCACCTGCTCCAGAGGTACATAATACATCTCTGAACAGGGTAATTAGAAAAATAGGTTAAATTTAAAAAAAACAACTAAAGCATTCAATGTTGGTACAATTCCATTTGTGGTCCAAGATGTTAAAGGAATGAATAAACGTTCCTGTTCTTCCCACCAAATAAAAACGATCTTGATTCTATTTGTTGAGGTAATATTTAAATTAAAGCAATAAATGTTCTCCAACTCCTCTGTCTCACAGAAATGCACTAGGATTGGCAAGTCTGGGACAAGGGACTGTAGGTAATGCCTAGACTCAAAAAAAAATTAGCCACAAAAGGCAAGAACAAATCCAAGTGTAGCTACTGTAGAACAAAATAAAAAGCAAAGTAAAACAGTAAAGGGACAGGATTTATCTAGTGCTAATCAAATACAAAGAAATATTTGAAATGTGTACATACTTTGTACTCATTAAAACAGGAGATTTAATTCGTATGGTGATAAACACAATGACACATGAATTTAATTTGACAAAGAGTTTTCATGACACAAATACCTGGACAACCTATTGGGAAGGGAGACATACAAAACAAAGAACAAAATTAACTCAACATGCAACACTGCAACGCTGTTTATGTATATGTTACAGTTGGCATTTTAAAAATTGTCACAATAAACATTCAACAAGGGATTGGTATTCACAGAATTCTACAGGTCAGTCTCACATAATTGGACACATTTTTTAGTACAGTTGATGCAATACACTTTCTCAGCTAAGAAAGCCAAGGTAGGTTGGGGAATTAGGGGAAAAACCTAGTAAAGGCCCATTTCAAGAACAATCACTATACAGTTTCTAATATTTCTAACCTGGTATGAAGTTGATGGCATTGAGTCAAAAATCTAGGTTGATACTTCAGCTCAGTACTGCTGGAGTTAGGACTAATTTGAAGGGGTGAATGACATCTTGTGTGCACTGGTCAGAATTAATCCCTCAATTAACATTGTGAAAAACATTATGAAGAACATTATTTAGCCATTATTATTGCTGTTTGTGGAAACTTGCTATGTGCAAACTGCTTCCTACATTACAATCGTGAATATATTTCAGAAATTCTTCACTGGTTAAGAAGTTCTTCCAAACATACGGATGTTAAAAAGTGTGCTTTATAAAAATGCAATCATTTTTAATTTTTAAATTGAGAGAAACTTACACTTTGATTTTGTTAAAGCAAAGATGCTGTGGAATAAGACCCAAGTAGGAGAATGTCCAAGACATATGCCACTAACTGCGTAATTTTTGGCCAAATCTGCTCATGGAGACATCTTTGCTGAGCTACAAATTGCATTTTGGTGTGGGTTGAGGTGGTGTCCACAACAAACCAATCTAACTGATTCCAGGTCCTTTTTGAGGCTCCAGTCTATTCTGCTCTGTGTGCATAGCTGGGCAGCAATTCTGCCACTTGGCAGTCTTGGTATCCAATGTCTCATCATGAGTGTGTTCTCTCACCCCCAGGGTTCTGGGGAAACGGTTCTGAGGAAAGGCCACCAGAAACGTTAACTCTGATTTTTTGTTCACAGATGCCGCCAGACCTGCTGAACTTTTCCAGCAACTTCTGTCTTTGTTCCTGATTTACAGCATCTGCAGTTCTTTTGGTTTTTAAGATCTGTCTTTGCCAGATCCCAGCAGGCTGACAGCAGTGTGATGGAAAGGCCGGTTTTAGTCCATACCGAATTTCAACAACCACCAAGTTGAAGTTTTGTTTCCTGGAGATTACTCCATAAAAATCCAATATTCATGAGCAGAATCAGCAAAAAATTACAAGTGTAATTTAACAGTTTTAAAATGAGTATCCTTAGCTTTCAGGTCTGTTAATTTTTAGCAGATGTAGAAAATGAATCATTCCTGTTCTCTTTTAGGAGTCCATACCACATTTAATGTTATTATTTGGGGTCTCATTTAAGGGTCACTAGACCTTTAGGTTAAACAGAATGCTGATGAGCAACAAGCTGATTTAAAAAACAAGTGAAATGATGAACAAACATTAAAGTCCTTTAAGTTAGCAAGCATGTTTTTTGAAAGGAGAAGGGCTTAAGACGATTAAGTCAGCTCTACGCAAATAGCAAAAGGAGGAAAACGGCATACAACTGAATAACAGAGCAAAAGGTAAGACATGTTGCAATGAAATGACACTAAGTGGAGATTTTTAAGCCAATTTAGGCCTTTCATATTATTTTTGCTTTCTCTATAATGGTGGCTTCTAAAGCAATTAAAAATTGGGAAAAATGGTTTTGGCACAAAAATAAAAAGACTTAAATTGTTTAACTAATGGAGTTCAGCCAAGAAGAGAGAAGCTCTTATTACCACCTTCCTTGACGTGTTATCAGTGCCTGCCATATCACATCTGTGAAAGTAGACCAGGGCAAACTTGGATATAATGCATTTGCTTTTCTTGTTGATAATGGAAAATTAATCAGCACAAAGCTGTTTTAAAGATATTCCGATATTTTGTTTCAGAGCTCAATAAATTACACAAGGAACGAAACCACACCTCCCACCCCCAACCCCTGTCCCACGCCCCCCCTCCCCCCACCCATCCCACCCCATCAGAATTCACTAGCTTGGACCTATAACTGGTGACAGAGCTTTTGGATACCTTAGCCCTTTTCAATTTTGGCACCAAAATCCTTTGCCATCATACTTCTTTGTCCTTTAAAAGGATTCTTGAAATCTATCTTCTCGTACTGCCCTTATGGCCAGATTCAAATCTTCGAGATAGTGCATTTTCAAAATCTTTCAGCGTCAATAGAGATGAATCTAACTACTTCTTGGTCTGTCTGAATGATACTAAGTATATTTCAACCTTGGCTGACAGAAAAACTAATTTAGTCTCTCTTTCTCTCATTAGATGCTTCCTATTTATAAATAAGTAAACAACTGATTGGATACTTCTGGCCAATCTTCTTGTAGGAAGAAACATTGAAGAACCTGACATACTTTGTTAGAAAGGAAGGAAATTTTGACAACCAAAGGAATGTTAAGCTTGGAAATGTTACAGAACTTTGTGCAAATTTGATTCTGAAATATATCTATCACCCGGAACAAATATTACAGGACAATGGACACATTTCCTTTCAATCTCTCCCACTTCACATAATCATTCCAAAATTGCAGCCTTTAAAAAAAAAAAACAGGCTGATACATTTCACCCAATGTTTTATAGGTGTTGCTGAAAATTTAAAGCAAAAAATTTTGAAAGTCATGAGCTGCAATTTCTAAAGATGCTCTTCTGAGATTAAACATTTACTGCTGTGCTTTGTTACCAGTGACTCTACATTTATGGAAGTGATTCAGTTTGTAGCATTCTTTAATTGAATATGAGACCACAATTAACGTGCATCAGATCTCAAACTTTCAACAGCTCAAAGGCATCCTGGAAGATTAGTTACTGTTGAATCCACATAAATGCATTCCCAAATTAAGTAAATCCATAGCAGTTTGCCAACAGAACTGCAGAACCCCTCGGGTCCAATCTCTATTCTTCATTGCATTATAGTTTAATGCCTGTGAGACCCATACTCCAATGGTGCACAAGCTGCAATAGCCTCTCTAGCTGGTAAGTGAATCAGATTCATGTAAAAACTTCTGTGCATCATCCCTCTGAACCATAAAGACATGTTAAAGCCGTCTGCATAATAAGGGGCTACATATAAATTGCTTAAGTAGCAGGATTTGAGGCAAGATCACGAGGCTTCAAACTCTATGCAATATATTGCAACTGCCCAAGTTAATTCTTTTCTTGTCATTCTGCTTTGCATGTCTAATTACATGCAAACTTTCTGCCCAAGATCTTATTGCAATTGTGTAGCTTCTGCATGCAGTTCAATGTCATGCTGAATTGTTAAAAATTCCTTATTGCTTAGAGTTAGCTCTACAGCTGGCTCTCTAATACTGAAGCAAAAACAAGTTAAACATTTCAAAATTAAACCATTTTGTACGATGATCAAAAGCAAACACTCAGTCAACAAATTTTTTTCCAAAGTTAAACAATTGACTTCATATGAAGAGGTTGAACAACATGCAAGTTTCAGGAAAACAAGATAAAATCCGTTCTGAGGAAGGGTCACTGGACCCGAAACGTTAACTCTGTTTTTTTCCTTCACAGATGTTGCCAGACCTGCTGAGCTTTTCCAGCAATTTCGGTTTTGTTTCCTGTTTGAAAATAAAATTAGATCTAGGAATCACACCAACTGGGGCAGAGAGTACTAGTGACTCTCCTTGGGGATGCTTGTGGTTGCAGCTATATGGTCTGGTGCAATCCTGACAATCCCTATATCTGATAAATCAATACTTGAATGCATCAATACAGGACTCCAGTTGTGATATAAAGTTTCTTAAAAACCATCCTTCTGCAAAAAGAAAACCTGGAGCTAAACTAGGATGGACTGAATTCGGTAATGATACTGCAGCACTTTGGCTGCTCTTAATCCTCCAAAATCTCTCCTTAAATTCATTTACAGTGCACTTGATAAAATGGTACACGAATGTACTGATACTGTTCCTTTACATTGAATTTAAATCTACTCTAGATAGGGAATCCTTTCAGTTGTGAATTATGTTTCACTTTCAGGACATTCCAAAATAATTCACAGAAAGGTATTCCTCTTGCAATATTGTCTCTGTAACAGTGTAGGAAATGCAGCACCCAATTAGCAGATAGGACACAAGAACTTTCCTCTTGCTGCATTTAATAATGCACTGGCAGCTTTTACATCCCTTGTGGGGACAGGTGGGACCTGAGTTAATCTCTCATCCACAAAATGCAACACTTCCTCAAAAACGCACTGATGTAATTCTCTGATATGGGACTTGATTTCATGTTGTCTTACACACAGCCATTAGCCCTACCAATCTGTTCTGGATAACACCTTTGATTTTACCCAGCATTGAGTAGCTCAATCAAATAAAGACCTCCCCTTTCAAATTTGCCCTCTTAATATGACAGATGACAGATAAGGAGGCAAATCCTACAGAGTACTGAAATTTGCCTGGCCAGAATTCAGCTTTGTGGTCAGTGGGAACAGTTGTTTCCAGGAGTTTCCTCCAGTATTGCTCCTAACAATGAGCATGGCTCAGCCCATCCATCAACCTAGTGCCAATTCAAAGGACAAAGATATATAAAGATGTGAATGGATTGTTGAAGCTATTTGGTCTGGACTTTAGATCTCTTTATGTTTGCCCTGAATCTCTCAATCATTGCGCTCCTATGCTTTTATTAATCTTCTAGACTGGTATCAAAGGCAGAGTGCTTGATTTGCACTTGGACTATGCTTGATTCGCCTGAACACAACTGCTGCTTAGGGAATTTGCTGACAAAGTCAAAGGTTATTCCAAAAACTAGTTAGAAACTACAGCATAGTAACTGGGTGCTCAATACTTGTAACAGAATATACTCTAAAAATAATGATGTACCAGGGTAACCAACAGTTTATTTTTAACAGGACTTATTTCATCAAAATGAATAGGGAAATCAGAATATGTCTGTAAAGCCAGGCATTGCTCACCATAATCCCGCAGAAGAGCCTGTGCTGGTCTTTCACTATCTGGTGTTGTGGCCTCCGAGCTACCCGTGCTGGTCATACTGATACCACTGCTGTTTCGACTGTGACTCTTGAATGATATGTGAGTGCTATCACCAACACTCTGTAAATGCACAGCACAAAATTAAGGAGTGCAAACATTTCTGGTCAAAGGGTTAAGCATTTAAACTGATAAGAACTGAAAAGCCCCAAAAGGAGAGACTGTGTATTCAGTAAGCAAAAGCTTTGCAATTGTAGAGAAAAAAAATGTCATCTACGATAGCCTCTCTTAAAGGTTTCAAGTGGACCACAGCTGTTCATCAACTTACCAGCTCTGTCTGAGAACCAATTGCTTCCAAAAGTGCAGAATCTTGAACAATATTTAACATGGCACCTGAAAGGAAAGCAGGTTTTTGATAACTGATTAAAATATTTGATAGCTATAAATCTGGTAATGAGCCAAATAAGATCCCTACCAACCTAAAATCATTTGTGTATTGTTAGGATCAGTTTCAGTCTGTAGGGCACCAATTAACACATTGACAAGGCGCAGTTTCAGAGAAAGGAAGGTAACTGGCTTGTCATGTAATGAAGAATCTTCGCTACTGAACTTTCCTTCCAAAAGAACCTAGAAAGAAAGAAAGAAAAGCATGAAGCTATCAATCCTATTAATTTTTATTTACTTATTTTAACTTGTCTTTCTAGAATTTTGATGTCTGCCCTTTTTACACTGGCTGCCACTTGAATGGCCTTCCTGAAATGCCAGATTTGGTTTTCCTCAACAGTCAAGAGTTTGCAAGCTCAACACAGTGTGGAGCTTGGGGAACACAGCAGGCCAGGCAGCATCAGAGGTGCAGGACAGATGATGTTTCGGATTGGGACTCATTAGGTCCTGATGAAGTGTCCTGACCCGAAATGTCAACTCTCCTGCTCCTCTGATGCTGCATGGCTTGCTGTGTTCCTCCAGCTTCACACTGTGTTGACTCTGACTCCGACATCTGCAGTTCTTGCTTTCTCAGAGTTTGCAAGCTTTTGTTTTGTGGGAAGACTGCAGCCAAGCACAGTCCTGACACCATCTGTCCCTTTTTTAAAATCAGGGATTATGTTCATCAAAAGCAGAAATCTGTCTCCATTTCATAACTAGGAGTAACTACAGGTTCCTAATTGCTGTTTGGCTGAAATCAACTACTGCAGCAGAGGCTGAGAATCAAATTTGGAAACTTTCTGGTCTGTACAAATTGGAATCGTTAAGAGACAAAACAAAATAACAATAAATATGATATAGCTATAATTTGTATAAAATTAATGCAATCTTTCTGCCCAAGAATTGAAGTTTCTGAATGCAATTCAATGTCATGCTGAATTGTTAGAAATTCCTTAAAGTTAGTTCTACAGGACTCAGCTGGCTCTACAATACATTTCAAAAGCAACATTTCTCTCCAACAAACATCAAAGCCTGTCGTACAATATCCATCAGTAAATAAATCTGTTGGCATTTTGCTTTCTTCACTGCCCTAGTGGAGACAGTCTTCAAGACATTTAAGCAGTTAAAAATGAACCGTACCTCTGCTTTAACTGTCCCAAAGTGATGGGGAAGAGGCAGCATTGACAGCAGAATGTGGATAGATGCTCTCCTAAGTTCAGTGGGATTTACATATGCTTTGAACTTTGATAGTTCTCTACAAAAGATGGGGTGGAACAAAAACACAATACAATCAATTGCTCAAACACCCGATTTTTCAAACATATTTAGACATTGTAGTACAACTGAAGTTATGTCTAGATTTTTGAGTCAGTATTAGACACTTTGACTCCTTCTCTGATACCTGTTAATTACGTTTGGTGTTCATAATGTGTGAGCTAGCAAGATGGTCGGAATGCTTGCAGACCTGGTTTCAAGGTTACTAATATTTATCCAATGAATCCAGAGGATGCGGGGGCTCCCCGCAAGTGGAATTTCTCTCGTAGTCTTATGTGTCACTGATACACAGTGATAGGAATAGGAGCCCAGGAATGAGGTGATGATCCACTGATCCGTACACTAGCACTGTTGTATTTGGGTGACTGCAGTGTCATTGCTCACTCTGCATGGACTTGCTAGCCATCTTAATCTCTTTAATTCTCTGTATAAGGAGTTGGTCAGTCCCTGATTATTGCCAAAACAAATCTCATATTAACCCTGATATGATCAGTCAAATATTCCAAAACCCACTAACGACAAGGGAATCCAACACCAGATCGACTGGTATCCCCATATACCACTATTCTAGTCAACAAAAGTCCCATCACTTTGCTCTTCTCTAAAATCAAATTCATCTGCCACTTGTATGCTCATTTCACCAGTCTATGCCCTCCTTAAGTCTGGTATTACCATTCTCTGTTTGCCACATTTCCCAGTATAGAGTCAATAGCAAGCTTTGAAATAATCACTTGGACCTGTCTCTACAGGGTATACTGCAGCCTAAGATAACCTAAGATAGTTTCTACAATTGTAAATCTTAAAAAAAGGAAGGCAAAATTGGCCTTGATTAAGCAATTTAAAATATGCATTCTTTTAAGAATGATCATATCCAGATTAAAATAGAATGGAGCAGCAGGGAAATGTGCCATTAGTTGATTACCCGATCTACTCAACATAAAAAGCAGCTTTATGAAGTGGGGAGTAGATATTAGCCACGCAAATTGTTGAAATACACTGCAGTTGAACAAATGCGTTCAGGATTTTCACTTAAAAAAAAAAGGGATAGTGTCCTTTTAATTTTCTTGAGAAGGTGGTGGTGAGCTACCTTCTTAAACTGCTGTGGGTGAAGGTGCTTGCATACTGCTGTTATACCAGAAGCTCCAGGATTTTAAAAATGAGCATGCATGAATGGTCAACATTATGTCCTGTGTGTGGCCTAGAGGGGGAATATGGAGCTAGTGGCGTTCTGATGCATCTACTCCCCAAATTCTCCTTGGTATCAAAGAGGATGTCAATGAATCCGTGGAGAATTGTGATTGTGTATCATCTACAAGATGCACTATGTTGCAATGGGGTGCTTGTAGTTCTTGGAAGTGCTGGCTATTTAGAACAGTACATAAGATGCTAATCAAGCTGATGCTTTCTTCCGTATGGTTTCAAACTTCTTGGATAGAGCTGCAGCTGCACTGACCCAGCCAAGTAGACAGCATATTCCATCCTATTCTGGACTGATGCCTTTTGGGTTCCAGAGACGCTTTAAGGATACAGGAAGTGTACTAATAGCTTGTCTTCTGATGTGCTCATGACTGGGTGAGTAGTAATGATACAACTTTCTGATTCATGTTTGACAAATAACATTCTGCTATTTACACATTCATTCGTATGTTAGGATGTTGTATCTGAAATTGAGCAGTTTTAAAATATTTTTTGAAAAATATTCACTCAAAGGATATAAGCATCGCTAGCATTTATTGCCCATCCCAGAGGACAATTAAAAATCAACCACATTGCTGTGGGCCTGGAGTCACATGTCGGCTAGACCAGGTAAGGATGGAAGATTTCCTTCCCTAAAGGTTATTAGTGAATCAGATGGGTGTTTCTGACAATCAACAATGGATTCATGGCCATCATTAGACCCTTAACTTCAGATTCTTTATTGAATTCAAATTCCACCATCTGCCATGGATTTGAACCAAAGTCCCCAGAGCGGAGTTTCTGGATTAATAGGCTAGCGATATATACGACTAGACCATTGTCTCCCCACACTGCCTGCTGCTCCAAACAGGAAGCGGATTTGGAAATGTCTACATTCTGACAAAAGAGAAAGAAAGAGTACGTGTATGAGATTATTTGTCCCCATTTACAAACACAGACAACATTATTAGAACCTATAAAAGGTGTCCTGCTGGTTTATCCACAGGTCTGAAAAATTTCTAATTTGGGCAGGTAGGTTATCTCTGTCAGGGTACTACTGAAGAAGCCTGTGACCAGGGTTCTTGCTACTTATGCAACCAGCGATGCCTGGAAAAGTGCTCAGCATTCACAACAGCTGATTAAGGTTGGTTGTGATGTTGAATGGTCAAATAATCAGACAACATTCAACTGAGGCTCTCAAATTTTTAACTGCTCATTGGACAAGGTCCCATTGGATATTTAGTGCTATTGGAATTACAGAATATGGAAGAAAATTGGTTAATAGAACAATTCAAACTGTGGTATCTTAAGAACAGTAAATAAACTTACCGGTCAGGCAATATTGTCTCTAGTGCAGAAATGAAATAAGGAACTAAAACATCGATGCCTTTCAGATCAGAGCAAAACAAAGCAGGAGAGTTCAGGATGATACTAGCCAAAACTGGACGACAAATGTAATCATTTATCTGCAGTCCCTGGATCAGTACCATATAGAACCTGGTTGAAAGAAAATGAACAACACTTTAATTTGCATTGCACATGAAAACAAAATCAAGATATCAGCATCTTCAGACTCAATATGTTCAATTTAACGGATTAAGAGGTGCTTTCCCTATTTAACCAACAAAGTTATCAACTTCCGATACTTTCGACATTTGCTGTCTGAAAACACAAGTTATAATTGTCTGTGCGTGTTTTAGATAAGCAGTCTAAGCTGATAACACCATCAGACTGAAAGATGGTGAATGTTACACCTCTTTTCAAAAAAGGAGGGAGGAAACTGGGAGCTGTCAGGCTAACTGGCCTATATCAGCCATTGGGAAAATTCTGGATCAGCTGAGGATGTCTTAACAATGCACAGAGTATGACTGAAGCAAATCATCACTGTTTTGCTAAAGAGAAGTCTGCCTGACAAATGTATGTCAGCTTTTTCTCTCAGATTTATTTAGTAGGGTAGATTAACAAGGAACCAGCTGGTGTAGTATGCCTGCACTTCCAAAAGCCAGTCAATATGGTGCCACGCAAAAGTTTAACTGGCAAGCATTCATGAAGTTGGGGTAATATAGCCAACATGGAAGCAGAGAGTGGGCATAAATGGGGCATTTTCAAGAAGGCAGGCAATGAACAGTGGTGTGCCACACGGATCAGCTGGGGCCTCAGGGTTTTCTATCTATATTAATGACTTAGATGACAAGACAAAGAATGATTTATTTAAGCTTGCTGGGCCAGCATTTATTGCCCATCCCTAGTTGCCCCTGGAGAAGGTGGTGCGAACTGTTGCAGTCTGTTTACTCTAGGTAGCCCCAAAATGTCATTTGGGATCAAACTGCAGAAAAGCGTAAAATTATTCACTTTGGTCTCAAGAATAGAAAATCACAATATCTTTCAAAAAGGTGAGAAACTTCGAAGTAATAATATTCAAAGAGATATGGTGTGTTTGTACAAGGAATGTAGAAAGGTAGCACGCAGGTACAGCCAACAACTAGGATGACAAATGGCATGTTGGCTTTTGTTGCAAGCTGATTGGAATACAGGAACAAGGAATTCTTGCTACAATTGACGCATTTTTGGTGAGACCTCATGTGGAATACTGCACACAGTTTTGACCTCCAATAGGTACAATGGTTCACTAAACTGATTCCTGGGATGAAGTAAAAGGAAAATGGCAACAAAAGTAGGCTATCAGCTTATCAAGTTCACTCTGACATTCAATACAATGATGGCTGATCAAACATGTAAATGCTTTTTACGCAGCCCATCCCATAACCCTGTATGCCAGTGGTAATCAGAAATTTATCAATCTCTATCTTAACTCAAAGACTGAGCCTCCACAACCCCTGTGGCAGAGGATTTCAGAGATTCACAAAATGTCTGAGTAAAAAAACCCCTATCTTGGACACATATGACATCCCCTTATTTTTAAACTGTGCCCCCTGGTTTTAGACTCCCCACGTAGGGAAAACATTTTACCTGATTCTACCCTTTGAGATCACTTCACATTCCTCAAAACCCAAGAGTCCGGGTTTCCCAAACTCTCATGGACAGTCCCCCAGCCAACGAACAAGTCTAGTGAACGTTTGTTGCACTCCCTTCCATGGCAATGACATCTTTTCTGAGATAAGGAGACAAAAACTCTGCTATGTTGAGAGACTGGGTAAAGTGGGCCATTATTCTTTGGAGTTTAGGAGAATGAGGGGCAATCTCATGGAGATTGACAAGATTCTGAAGGGGCTTGATAGAGTAAAAACCAATGGATTGTTTCCACTAGTATTGAAAATGGAGAAAAGTGTCGGTGCAATGACTCCAGATCACAAACATGGCTCTATGATGGACCTGTTGGTGAGGATCACAGCTTGCAAGTTACATAGCACGCAGAGAAAAGAGATGAATTTCTGTGGGCAGCCAAATGTGAGGAGAACACATGATAAATCCACCCCAATCAGGTGTTGAAAGTCTTTGTGAGGTTGCAGAAAACCAAAGCATATAATTTGCAACTAACTGGTCTTTTAAAATTGCCCTTAGAGTATTCTACAGGGCATTTCTTGTACAAAGTATATTATTAGAAAGACTTTATCTTGTTCTGCAGTCACTCAGGATTTGCTCACTCAAAGGAATTTTATCCTTCTACGTAGTCCAGCCAGTCATTTTTATATCCAATACATGTCTCCTCTCACACTAATTAAATCCTGCCCTCACAAAGAAACATTGAAAATAGGAGGAATAGGTCATTCAGCCCTTCAAGCTTGCCCCACCATTCAATATGATCATGGCTGATAACCCTGCTAACCACCCTGATCCTGCTTTGGCCCCATATCCTTTGATCACTCTAACTCTAAGAACTATATCTAATGCTCTCTTGAACACATTCGATTCCCTTCGCTTCAGGCACATTGAGACTCCCATTACATGTGTCAATGCTTCAATCACTCTCAATGGCAGCAAGTTCCACGTTCTCATTGTATCTAAAGTAATTCCTTCATGATTTTATAATTGATTTGTTGCTGGCTCTTTATATTTATGGTTCCTTGTTCTGGGCTCAGTTGTAAAGTGAAAACAGTTCCTAAACATTCACTTGACCAAAACTCAGCTTGTTCAATCTTTCCTGACAGTTGAATTCATTCAATTTTGGTTAACATCTTTGTCAATCTTTTTGACATGGTTTTGAAGCATTGGAAACATTCTCCACCCTAAAGAAAAACTTCTGCCCTTGTATAAAAATGGTTTCGAGGTCATATGACCAACAGCACCACTACAGCTTTGGGAGCGATGCAAGGAAAGTGCACGTCTCTGCTGTCTTTAGAGACACTGATAGCACTGTAGTTCAAAGGGGAATCTTTGCTTAGTAGTTCACGTTTTCTGATCACTGAGCTGTCCTCTCTGTTTCCAGCCATTTTCACTAAAGACAAGGTCTGAAGCTAATGCGTTCAAGTTTTTCTAAATTTGCCCTCAGGATGTGACATCACTGACAAGATCAGAATTTATTGCTGATTCCTCATTGCAAATTCAGTGGCTCATGAAGATGGCAGCAGTTTGATTAATAGAACATAGAACATAGAACTGTACAGGCCCTTCGGCCCACGATGTTGTGCCGACATATTATCCTACTAGGATCAAACTACCCTACAAAGAGTGTTGTGCTAGACCACTTTCCTTTCCTAAAGGAAATTATAATTTACAGGTGTGTTGTCACTGTAAGTGACCAAGTAAGAATAATTAAAAGCAAACAGGAGACATAACGGATATAAAAAATAATCTTGAAAGTGGATTGCCAATTTGATCAAAAGGTTTTTTAAAATTAAATATAAAAATAAAAAGGAACGTGCAAGTAGAAGAACAGAATTTACTTCCATGAACTGCATGATTAACATTACTCTTTTATCTTAACATTGTGGGGCAGAGGAGAGATAGAAATTACAAATGTGTCACAATATCTACATTTGAGCATGCTCCCCACACTACATGAAATGCTCCCAAAGTAACGCTTTTCAACACAAAATTCACACATAGTATCCGTAGGTATATGGAGTACAGGTTGTGCAGCAAGATTGGAATAGATAAGATATACTCAGTGAATATTATTTATCTGGATACCCAGGGAGATACTTGCTACAAGTTCTACGTTCGATGTCTTAGAATATTAGGGTTCAAAAAAATTAAACAATAAACATAATATTAATCGAGAATCCCAGGTATTGTTCTGGGGACCTGGGTTCGAATCCCACCATGGCAGAGAGTGGAATTTGAATTCAATAATAATCTGGAGTCTAATGATGACCATGAAACCATTGCTGATTGTCAGGAAGAACCCATCTGGTTCACTAATGTCCTTCAGGGAAGGAAATCTGCCATCCTTACCTGGTCTGGCCTACATGTAATTCCAGACCCAGAGCAATGTTGTTGACTCCGAGCTGCCTGCTGGGCAATAAATGCTGGTCCAGCCAGTGATGCCCACATCCAATGAATGAATAAAAGAAATCCTACAGCTGAAGATAGACAGGTGTCATGTTTTGGTCTGTTCATAACTTTGTTTATCTGTAAATAATATCTTAAATACTCATGGGATACATTTCAATGAGAAGTGGTTGACTTAGGGTACGGCCCCAAGGAAGAACTATGGATGCTGAATTTTTTTTTTTTAAAAAGTATCAGTTAACATTCTGAATTACGACAAACTAATATTTTTAAAAAGCAAAGAAGTGTTTTGGAATTTTGTGGATTGTCTTCGCTGCTATGGTGGAATTTGTCAAAATTTGAGTAGAGTTTCCAGAGTAGGTTGTCGTGTACTGACAACACCAACCAGACAGAGAAAAGCTGCATAATTGTAATCATATTTGAGTTAGCACGGCATTTTGGAGGTATGCCGTGAGTGTCCTCTTGTTCCACATTGAATTGCCAGTTTTTATTCTTTTTTTGGGAGGATGGGTGGTTAAGACAAGGAAGAGAAGTTGCATTTTAAAAATTCCAGAAGGGAGGGGACTGTGCTTTTTGAGATATCCAAGCTGCCCTCCTGACTGCATTATCCAAGAACAAATGCTACATTATACTGTAGGAATGATCAACATGTCTGTACTTCAGAGTTGAAGTTTTGAATTCTAGGATCGATATAGAAAGAGTTCAAATTTAATCATCATAAATATTTTAATTAATATGTTTAGAGATGTTATTGCACACCTCTGGAATAGGTGGGACTTGACCCCAAGATTCATGGTTCAAAGGTAGGAACACTACCACTGTGCCCTTCCATTTGTATACTTTTACATTTAATACTGTTTCAGTAAATTCATATTTACAGTATAGCCTTCTGAATGACACAGAGGTTAGCCTTGGATTGTCAAAGTTTATTATTATACATACTTTCTAAACAGACTGTTTAAAGACATTGTCACGACAATTTGGAACAGACAGGACTTGAACCCAGGTCTTCTGGCTCAAAGATAGGGACATTACCACTGTGCCCTTCCACTTACAGACACTCTTATAAGATGTACAATCTTCCA